GGTGACTGGTCCAACCAAAAAAATGAAGGAAAATGGGTTACATAACCTGTTATGCGTCCCTCTCTACATTCTCTCTCTACTCTCATGCTCTAGTTAATTGTTCTTCATGCATAAATGCTTGTATAATAGTTCTTTTGTATATTTTTAATTGATTAGGTTGAGAAAATATGTTATTTTCATGTGTTATGGGTTGAAAAATATGAAAGAAATAAGAGAAAAAAAATGATATGATAGTAGATTAAATGAGTTGAGTAGTTTCCACTCCTACAAACAACCCTAGGCATAATTGCTACTTTTCACTCCCAATCTAGATATGAAAGAAGTTAATACTTGTTTGATTTACCCTCTTACTTGGTCCAGTAAGAGATTATCTCTTATTGGGTCCGGTAAGAGTGTTTGATATCATCAAATATAACATATTATCAGGTTAACAACCTCTTACCGAGTCCACATAAAAAAGACGCTGACTGAGAAAGATAAGCATTTGTTCCCCTATCTGCCCTTCTCCTTTTCACGATTTCCTTCTCCTTGCCCACCTCCTACATCTGCAAGGGCAACCCGATATCTACACCATTATCGCCTCCTCTAAACGACGCCTTTTCTGTCCTCGTCCAGCGTCGCCGTATCTAGCGACGCCGCATCCTCCTCATCCTTTGGTATGTCTCTCCCTCTCCTAATCGATCTGTGATTTGGATTATTGCATCGATTCACTCTGAATCTCTTCTCACTGCTCTCTCAATCTCTTCTCATTGCTCGTTCAGTTTGATCAATTACAAGATCAGAATGGTATTCCCTTTCCTTCTTTATGTAAATTGTCACCTGGTTATGTGTTGGAACTCTTAATATTAAAAAATGAAACTGAAGTGATGCTAACCATTGAGAATTTGAGTGAAATAACTTCGAATTTAACTGCTAATAGGGACGATGATTATGCAGAAAGTTTTAGGGGCAAGGTTAGTAAGCGATATAGGAGAGTAAAGTGATAGCAACAACTGGAATGGTGTCAAATGGACATTTTTCGAGACAAGGTTGAAGGGATTTGTTGATAGAGGTGCAGCCATGAAGATGTTGAACAGTTTTTGTGCTTGATGCTTACCTGCTTTGTGATGAATGTGAACTGGGCATGGATTTGGTCAAGAACGTACTGCGTGAGCATTATAAAGGGTAAATTACACCATTCGTCCCTCGTGCACATGTCAGAAAGCGTGTTTAGTCCCTATTTTCAAAAATTAACTCGGACCGTTCCTGTGTTTGTTTTTTCTTGCACGCTTAGTCCCTGTTGACATGAAATGACTGTCTTACCCTTACTAATTTCATTTTTCATTTTTTTTATTTCTTTATCAGTTGTAAATTAAAAAATAAACAAATAAACCAAATATTCTAACCCCTCCGTACGTCACTTCCCTTCTCCCCTTTCTTACCTCCTTCACAGCAGACCTACATCACTGAACCAAAACACCATCGCCACCTTGATCTGAAACTCCGTCGGCAACTTTCGATGGTTGCATACAGGTGAAGAAGGAGACCGATGACTTCCGACAAAGCACCACCATCACAGATCCGCTCAGTCACCTTCTCATCTCTTCTACAACTACGCCGGCGACCACACATCTAGAAATCGGGCCTGTAACAAAAAAAAAGGTGCAAAATCGGAGGGGTTTATTGAAGCTCATCGGAGAAGATGAAGGGTTTACGGATCTGAGATGATGAGGTTAAGGTAAGAAAACAATTCAATCGAGGCCAATGTGATGTACCATCCAGAGATTTCCAAAGACGGATTTTCAAGGGTTTTAGTTAGGGCATAAGAAAGAGAATAATGCAACCTGTATTTCTCTACAAATCGCAACCACCACCACAACCTCCGGTTTTGATTTTGCGTGTTTATACCCACAACAAGACTCAACATAGATACAACCTTATTCATCTCCCTCCAATCGATCACCAGATGCGTCGCTTTCTTCTTGTGAAGTGAAGAAGACAACGAATTGGAGGTTAAGGGGTAAGAAATTGATGAACAACGAATTAGATGAAGTGCAGATTTACAACCCCCTCTTGCCATCTCCCTGGTATCGAATCATATTTGGAGGTTCACTGAATCAGATCTGCTTTCAATTTAAGAACTCTAGATCCTTTACTGATTTTGAATTAAACATTTCCATGCCATGATTCTTCCTTCTTGATTTGCCTCGATTATTCTTTCTAGATTTGTAGGTGGGTTTTTCGATAGAGGTTGTGGTGGTGTTAACAGTAAATGGCTGGTTCGGTGGTGGTTTGAGTATATGTATCTGGTTCGGTGAATGAGGTGGTGGTTTGTGGTTATTTTCAGTGAAACATTTAAAATTTAAACGGAGGAGTGGGTGGGATGAAGTGAGGGGTGGCGGTGGTGCTCCATTTTCCGATGAGGGGTGGCGGTGGTGCTTTATTTTCCGATGGTAGTTTAGATTACCGGTGGTGGTCAGGTGTTATTCAACAAAATAGAAAAATAATTGAAATAACTTTTAATAATTAAAAATATAAAAAATGTTCAAAATAAATGGAAAAGAAAAAGAAAAGGGTATTATAGTCTTTTTAAGTATCACAAAGGATGAAATGTGCAAATTTAAACTAACGAGGGATGAAGCGTGCAACTTTTAACGACACGAGAGACGGTCAAAGTTAATTTTTGAAAATAGGGACTAAACACACTTTCTGGGATGTACACGAGGGATGATTGGTGTAATTTACCCCATTATAAATTATACACTTTCTTGATGTTTTTGTAAAATTTGGTTGGCAATTAGTCATAGGAAATATTCAATCTTTTTTTTTATTGAATCATATTGATTAGTGGGGAAATAAAATACACTTTTTCTCTGTATGTTGATAATTTCCTTGACTGAGAGTTTTTTTTCTGTGTATTTTGTAAATGTATGAATTATATGCATTTTATATTTGGATTTGAAATGATTTATCAAACAAATACATTTTATCCAATACAAAATAGAACATAAGGGTAATATGGTTATTTTCATCTCAGTCAAATGCATAATCAAACAATATGGTTTCAATCATAACAGACTCTGTCATATTTTCTAACTCAGTCAGGCCTATAATTCAGTCAGACCTGACTCATTCAGCAGCTATCAAACAACCCCAAAGTCATGAGTTAGAAATTTACAAATATACATAAACACAAAAACACACAGGTTGTAAAAATAATTTTGTAAAAACACAAAATATGTAAAAATAAAGCATAAAGCCATAAGTTCTAAAAAACAATATTTAGAAAAGTAAGTTATATTTTTTTGTTAAAAGCTTTGATCAAAACTGAAGAATTTTTATAAAATTTGGATTAAAATTGTAAAAAGGGCGAGTGTTTGGACAAAACAAATTACTTTTAGGTGAAAACTGTAAATAAAAAAAAATAAAAAAAGGTCAAAAATTTGGTGAGATTTAGATATGGACAATAAGCTGTAAAAATTTATTTCGAAAAACTAAGTTTTAATATTTTTTGTTAAAAGCTTGAAAAATAGTAGAAGTTTGTTAAAATTTGGGTTAAATGTGAGTGTTTGGACACAAAAACAAAAAAATAAATCATATTTGGAAGTAAACTTAAAAACATGTTCAACCTAAATAAGGACTTGTCCGATATGTTAGCAAATTTTTTTTGTGGGATAATGACTTAAAAGAGTAACATATTATTGGATTTGTACACATTTAGTCTCTAATTTGTTTTTGTTCATATTTACCCATTGAACTTGTTTTCGTGTGTAAATTTATTCCTTATTATCGGTTGATGGCATATTTGCTGACATGATTGCATATGTGGACAATCATTAAAAGAAAGTAGTTCTACGTGGGTCATTCCTGAGTTTCATCAATTATAATACGAGCCAAAGCCCTAAATTCAGTCAAAACACTTTCCAACCCTACCCAAAATCAAAGAAGAAGATGTCGCAAGTTTCATCTAGTTCCTTCGAAAAGAAAGAGGACCTTTGTGATTGTCAACTCCTAGTTCGAGTATGCACATCAAAGACTAAAGATAATCCCAACAAAAAGTTCAAAGTTTGCCTCAATTCTCTGGTAATTCGAGTTTGAAGAAATTTACGCAACTTATGTTATGAAGTTGAGCTTCTTACCCTCTTTATATTTGATTTCCTTGTAATAAATGAAAAAACCAGGTAAGAAGTGTAAGTTATGGGAATGGACTGAAGAACCAGTGACTGGGAATGTCGATTTAGAATATGAAATTGTTGCAGTTAAAGAGGATGTTGCATATTTGAAAAAAGAAGTTCAAGAGCTGAAGAAGAAGAAGAAGAAATCACATAGTCATAGGGTTCAAATCAGTTGTAATATCATTTAAGTTCTACTTACGATGTATCTGAAAACAGTTAAATAGAGTTTAGTATTTTGAATGAATTTTTTTAGTTTGAGGTTAATGGTATTGAATATGTTTGCTATTGAATTGAATCACGAGTGGTTGGTTGGTATTGAATGATATGGTACACATTTGACTGTAATTTACATTGAATTTGGATACCATTCCAACAACCAAATGACAAGGACAAAACACAAATGACATTGATAGAAACAAAAACAAATAAGGACATATGATTCCCACTGGCTAAACAGTTAACATATGATTCCCACTAAAACAAGATTCTTAATAAACTAATTCATTGATACTAATAAAGACTGAAAAGGACAAAACACAATTGGAATAGGATACCATAACTGATTCCATTACTAAAAGGCCATCAAAAGTGGTTAGGTCACCAGTAAGGGTAATATTGTAATTTACATCAAAAGTTGGCCCAATTCTCAAAAGAAAGTCACCATACATAGTGTACTAGTACATACTTCCAAAGCAAAAGAAAATAAGTAACCCTAATCATTCTAAAGTAATTGGGTTGTCCTCAGTCACTCCTTTTCCATCCTTTGGAAAAACCTCCTTCTTGATTTGATTCTTATTGATTCTCTTTGAAGGCTTCCTTACTCTAACACCAAGGTTCTTAGGCACTCTAACACCACGATTCACATGCTCTTGATTCATAGGCACTTGGTTCACAGGCACTTGGTTCATAGGCACTTGGTTCATATGGACTTGGTTCATAGGGACTTGGCTCACAGGGACATGGTTCACATGGACTTGGTTCACAGGGACATGCTCTTGGATCACCGACTCTTGATGCACAGGTATTGGAGTACTTGGAGCTGGAGTGCTTGGACCTGCTTGTGAAGGACATTTCTGTGCCATTACTCTTCTTTCTTGGTTTACTTGGAACCGCTTCTGAAGGACCCCTCTTTGGACAGTTGTGTTTGTTGTGTCCAACTTTATTGAAAATGGCACATATGTGTTGAACACCTGCCCTTCTTATAGTATGCCTTATATTCCCACTTAGCTAATTTTCTGCTTGGTATCTTTTTCTTTTCACACATGGCCTACCAGGTAACCTTCTCCTAATAAGAGGTAGAATCTGGTGAACATTAGGTGTGTGGGGCCACAAGGGACTATCATTCAGTGGATGGATATGAAAGATCTAGTATGCTCAAGAATCATATTAAAGTGATATTGCTTATTAACATATGATACTAATGGGTCATACTAACAACAACTTGATACAACTGATTATTTATTAGAAATTATTTTAATAAATATTCGATAAACTCTTATAATTAAATTGGAAATTATTTATTTCTAAGAAATAATAATTTTCATTATCAAGCAACGTTATATAATTCATATGGTATGAATTAATAAATCATGCACAACATTTTGGACTAGAAAAATTCTTTTTTCTTTTACCAAAAAGTTAAAGTTTATATTTTATAAATTTGGTTTATAAAATATAAAGGTTTTGCCTTCTTCCTTTTATTATTTTATAAAAATAAGAGTCAAAAAGGAAGAGTATGGCTTTTTGATTATTTAAATAAAAGAATGGTTCTTTGAATATTTAAATAAGAGTATGACTTTTTGATTATTTAAATGAGAGAATGACTCTTTGATTATTTAAATAAGAGTATGGGCTTTTGAATAGTTTATTCAAAATGTAGGGTATTGTTACTACTATATATACAAGACTTGAGGCTTGCATTTTTCTAGCCTTTATGAGTGAAAAAATGTAATTTGATGAGGGAGATGCATTCTCTCTCATTTTTGGATCATCTCATGAAGATACTTTCTTCTTATGCTCTCTTTATGTTCTTATTTTGATAAGAATATAAATATTAAGAGTGTTAAGAATTTTATACAAAAGAACTAGCATTTTTTATGTTCTCAAAGGTTCCACATTCTTCATCAACTTCCAAGTCTCCCAAGATGACCTAAAGAACTACAAAGGTTATTATTTCTTCATCATTTCTTTGGTTGGTGTTTAAATCTTTCTATAACTTGCAAGAAGATCCTTGGTGGGTATAAAATTTTTATGTTATGTTGTAAATTTAAAGTCTTCCGTTTTCCATATTTTCTAGTTTATGAAACTATTTTTGAACTAAAACCCAACATGATAGTGTACTCATAGCTCCTAAGAAATGAAAATTTAGTAAAGAACTCTGCAACATACTCCTTTGGATCAAGATTCAAAGAAGATATGTCACATATGGCATGTACACATGGAATGACTATCAATTACCAACCTTTACATCCACACTCTCTTCTCCAAGTCAACACCAAACCTTTCATTTGCTTGCACAACTTCAAATTGTTTGTATCCACTAACATATGGATTCCAGAATATGCCATTAAAATAAGTTAGTTAACACATACATGTACAAAAAATAAGTAGGACATATATGGCTACTAACCTTTTCCACTCCTTTACGTCCTCAACCTGCTTTCTAATAGTTGGACATATTGCCAAATCCCACCCTAATCCTTTCCCTTTCTGCATGTATAATCTCTCCATCACAACCACCCTTATGTCATATAGCATAGTGATCAGTGGTTTGTGTCTAGCTTCTTAAATAACAACATTGAAGCTCTCAGAAACACCATTTTCCATTACATCACATCCCATTCCAACCTTAAAAAATACCCTTGACCAACAATTAGGGTCCATTTGAATGATATAATCATATGCATTCACATCAAAGCTCTTGATATCTTCCATTGCATGTTCAAATTTATGCAAGGTAGTTTCCTTTACAGCCCTCCAAAAAGGTTTTACATAACACTCACCCTTAAACTTTTTATGGAAGTTAGCAAGTATATGCCTAACACACAACCTATGCTGCACTTCTGGACATCTTTCCTTCACATCCTCCATTAAACCATGCATTTATTTAAAATGTTAGTATATGTGAAAGGCATTTTATAACAATGATGTTAAATAAAAAATGTACCTTGTGACCATCTAACATCAATGTGATTCCATTACCATTTCCTCTTTCATATATGTCTTCCATTAAATTATCCAAGAACCCCTTCCATGTACTCTTGTTCTCAACATTCACTACTGCCTAGGCTATATGGTATATGTTATTGTTGGCATCCCTGCCTACCACTGAGAGGAGCTCCCTTTTATATATGTCATTTAGAAAACATCCATCTACCCCAATAATCTTCCTACACCAATCTAACCAACCATCAACCACTCCATTAAAACTCACATAAAACCTTTCAAACACCACATTTGAATCATTTTGGGGCTACACATACACTTCAACATAAGATCCTAGGTTGGCCTTTCTAATTTCAGCTCCATAATCCCACAACTTGGAATAATGATCCTTCAAGCTACCCTCAATTTCAGACAATGCAAATCTTTTTGCATTCCTACACTGTCCAACACTAACATTTATGTTGAATAACTTGGATACCATGACTTTCTTCTTCCTCAAACCCATTTTAGGAGACTCCAATATATATCAGTGGCAAACTGTTTCCCTATCCACTTGTAGGTAACAATTGACCCAAGTTTGAATGCCCTTGAACAACTATGGTCTTTTCTAAGGGACTTTATTTGAAATGTTTGCTCATCTTTCATCTAGGAAGCCCACAATCTAAAAGGGCATTGTGGTGTTTTTCCTTTACAACACTTTACAAGCAACCTATCTTTGTCATTCTTCTCATAATATAAGTCATATCCATGTGCTACTGCATAGTTACTAAGAGATAACTTAAGTTCAGCAGGAGAGCAGAATCTCATACCTAGTTTAGGCTCCATCTTCTTCCATTCCTGAGTAGCATCATGCCTAGGGTTGACAGCTGGAAGTTCATTACAATCTTCATCTTTTACTGAGCATAACTTGTTCAAAAAGTGATCATTGTAGGTTCTTTTGAAGATTCTTTTGCTTGATATAACAGAGTCATCCTCTTCATGTTCACACTTCTCACCATCTTCTAAAACAGAGTCAACATCTTCATCTAAATACTGAAGTTCTTCAATGTCTGGCTCTTCCTTCTCAATCCAATCAAATAGAGGTTCATTATTGTGGTTAATATACACATTCACTTGTCTCTGAGCATTTGCAACCTCACGAAACTCAGAGTAGTCACAATCATTTTTCAATGTATGAAGCGCCTCACTCAATCTCACTTCAGGTAGACAGAAATGCACATGCTTGCACTGAAAATCGATAAGCTTCTCAACATATTTGATGAAATCAGAGAAGTTTATATCGTTTGCACCTTCCTTCACTCGTACTATTTCTAAAGCAAAATACACTAAGGGATTAGGCATAAAAGTACCATTGCAGTGTATATCGACTATTGGAAAAGCTTGATTTTCATCCATGGAATCAAAGTGGTGTTTTGAGAGAACTGGAGGGTGAGTAATGAGGTAGTGATCGAGAAGGGTGGGTAAGTAAATGAACCCTAAGTAAATGAACCCTAATTGTTTATCTTCTTAAATGAGGGGTGAATGAGGGTAATTCCACGTAATAGCCACGTAAGTAATTCGATTTTTCTTAAAATACCGTAAAACACAAAATGACCGGCTTAACCGATGTCAACCGGTAATAAAGACTAAATTTACACACGAAAACAAGTTCAATGGGTAAACGTGGACAAAAAAATATCGGGAACTAAATGTGTACAAATCCAATAATATCTTACCAGTTAAAGTTATTATCCCTTTTTTTGTTAACAAACCTGCAAGACAAAAAAAATTCTCATATACTGCATTATAATGGACCACAAAACACCAAAAATTTAAAGAAAGTGAGTGTTGGGTGGTTTGTTAGAAATTGTAAAGAGTCTAAGGACTATTTCTATAACATAGATTGTTTGTGAATGATAAAGAAGGATATCGGGCCATGATTGTAATTTGGATTCTTTTATTATTAAAAACAAATCCAAAGCTCTTTAGTGGATAAGAATGTAAACGTAATTTGCGCTTGATAGAGTCTTAGGTCAGTAAAACCCATACAAAAACAGAAACATGCGATAATTGTTTATAAATAGGGTACGAATTTGAGGTTCGGGACAAAATAAAAAAATGAGGCTCTTTAAATATAAAAAATATAAAAAGATATACAAAAGAAGTTATCTAAAAAACAAAAAAACAAAAAAAACTAATACAAAAACAAAAAATTGAAAAGATTTGTATGTAAAGATGTTGGACTTGGATAAATGATTCTTGAAAACCGTCAAAAAGAAAAAAATGACTAATATTATAAAAGCCCTAAATTTTTAACGTAATAATAAAAAAACACAAATGATAAGTAAGTTAATTAAGATTTTTTCCAACTACGCGTTAAAAATTCTGCAATAAGTTGTGCCATAGCAATAATAAAAAAAATATTATTGATTTTTCCAACTACGCATTAAAAATTTAGAGTTTTTATAATATTAGTCCAAAGAAAAATTCAAAAAAAACACAAATGATAAGTAAGTTAATTACAACAAATTTTAGCTTGTTTTTTTTACGGATTGAATCAAGTGCACCCACTCTTACAACACCAAAGAGAATTATAAAAAAAACTACCCCCAAGCGCAAAATGGTAAAGACACCAACCAAAAAGAATTAGGCCAGCAACCTGAACACTACGAAATAAATTTTATGCAGCTAACTTAACATTTCATCACATCAACAACATCGTATTAGGCCTATAACGCCTCTAAGCAACATCAGGTGTAAAATGGTCAATGGTAGGTAAAATACATTAACATTACAAATGCAATTAAAGATCCGCAATTTCTTTAACTATATACACAACAACTCCAGGTAACACACAACAGAACTGAATAATCCCCAAGGGCAAAATGGTCCAGACCCGAACCAAAAATAAAAAACCACCAAAGTCGGCTTTAATGCTTTATAGGAAAGAGCTTTGTATGAGGCATTAAAATGCTGCAGCAACACCAATGAATTTGAGTCAGAAGCCAAAAAAATTCCTGAGGTCTTTCATAAACCATCAGTTGTCGATAAGGATCATTTTTATAGCATCTTGACCAGAAGTGAACAAGATATGTAAGAAGAACCGAAGACCATCTATGTTGGTAAGTAGGAATTAGAAACCAATCTAAATTAGAATTAAGTACTTGTAAATTTATTTATCAATTAAAAACTCCAACTCGGATCAAGCAATAATGGATCTTTGTGTATTAAAAAGCACCACACAAAGAGGAACAAACGAATAAAGAAACAAGATGGCAATTTTTTGGTTTTTTTCTTACATATTTATGAAACAAGCAAGATGTCATGATGAATTATTCACTTCTTGAAACTATTGTGAAGTCATATATAACAAGGGGACTTCATCAGACATTCATGATTGCTTCTTGAAAAATGAAGTGTCATCTATTGGAAAGACACACCAAAAAGAAAAAAAATGAAGTGTAATGTATAAAAAACGAATAACAAATGCAAGAATTGAACACGAGGCCTTCACTATACAAATTTATGTGCATAACAATCTCAACTCCCAAACACTTTGTTTCCATTCTTCATATTATATTTTATATTATTCAAAATTATATATACATATACTAATCGTAACTCGTAGGGGCCCCCGATTTTGGTAAGGCCCGGGGCGGTCGCCCAGCTTGCCCGTGCTCTAAGGCTGGCTTTGAGGGTATGATTGATATACTTCACTACAAATATGAATATAGAATAAGTTTACAGAAATACAAGTGTTATAATATTAAAAATATACATAGAAACAAAAACACACAAAGATTGTAAAAAAGTAATACCGTAAGTCTGTAAAAAAAATCTAAGTTTTTTCATAAAAATAAAATAAAAAACAATAAGTTGTAAAAACATTTTACAAAGCTAAGTTGAAAATTATTTTTTAGAAGTTTGGACCAAAACTGTAGATTTTTTTATATATTTAATTTGGGTTAAAAATGGAAAAGCTAGTGTTTGAAAAAAAAAAACAAAAAAAATCACCTTTAGGTGAAAACTTTAAGAAAAACAAAACTTTGGTCGGATTTGGATCTGTACAAACTTGGTCCGTAAAAATATAAAGTTGTAAAAATATTTTGAGAAAACTAAGTTTTAATTTATTTTTCTATTAAAAGCTTGGAAAGAAACTGTAGAGTTTTTAAAAATTTGGGTTAAGTTGCAAAATAAAAGGCAAGTGTACAAAAAAAATTCATATTTGGGTGAAAAAAAAAAACTGTGGATAAGGTACAAAAAGTTTTCGACTTGCATGGAAGGTCCAAATTCATGAAATTTCCTTGATTTTGGTCCTAAAAAACCTAAAAAGACTGTTATACCCTTTCAATTTCCTTTTTACATTTTCTATATTTATTTTAACACTCTTTTAATTTATAAATAATAATAAAATAAAAAGAATATACCCCTTCACCCATTCAACTGTACCATCTCCTTTTCTCTACATCTCTCTTTTACTCTCTTTAACGCTCCGGCTAGAACACAGGTCCTACGACCTCTTTATCCCCGCCGACCAGAGCCACCATCCGTAATATTTCCTCTTCCCCTCCGCCTCCTCTTCTCGTTCAATACTTATCCCCTTTCTTTCCCAGGCCATATCTTTGTGTTTGACTGCCACAATAACTAACTAACAATCGGGGTCACGAAAATGTGCCAGGACATCATGAGTATGCCTTCGTGAATGTGATGTTGCTGTGAAAATGTGTCGCCGCCGACAATCTAGTCAAGGAATCCACCCAATGACGGTGAAGAAGAGCCCTAGGGTTTTCAGAAGGTATTAGTCGAGTACCAGAGGGTTTATGGTTTGATTTTGAGATCGAAGATTAGAGGCTTTAGTGTTTTCAAAATTAATTAGTGGGGTAAGTGATGGTTTTGGGTTTTATTTTGAATTCTAATTTTTTGCTGAATTGAATCCGCATTTGGATCGACATTTGAATGTGTGTATAAGTTTTTTATCATTCCATTTTGGGTTTTACATCATTGATTTTAATGTTATTGAATTTCTATACATCTATTTTCATCATTGTGTGTGTTCATGGTGGTGTGTGTGTTGAAGAATATGAGCTTAGAGAACCCATATGAAGTTCATGTTCATTAATCTAGAGAGAGAAAGTATTGTTTGTATGAGTATTTTCCATAAACATGATTGATTTTGGTCTCTGTGTGTGTTCAAATGTATTGTATGTATGTGTAAATCTCGTTTTCATGGTGTTCATAAGGTTGTGTTCTTGCTTTAAGAAGAAAAAGGAGAGAGAGAGAGAGAGAGAGAGAGAGAGAGAGAGAGAGAGAGATAAAGGGTAACGGTGGAGGTGAGGGTGGGTCCAATTATTTTATTTTTATTTTTGATTAATAAAGTATTAAAGAAAATATAAAAAATACAAAAATGAAGCTAAAAGGGCAAAACAGTCATTTCAAGTGTTTTATAGACCAAAATCATCAGCGTCTCTTAATTTTAGGACCAAAACCACATAAATTTCCTGATTTTGGACCTTCCACGCAAGTCGGAAACTTTTTGGACATTATCCACAGTTTTTACGAAACCACAAGGACTAATTTTGCAGTTTAGTCGTCAACAAACCTGCAGTTATTATATACTAAAAAACTTCACAATATAGAAAACCCAATATATTAATAGGAAAATGGTGCATGATAATGGACCACAAAAACATCTATATATATATATATATATATATATATATATATATATATATATATATATATATATAGAGAGAGAGAGAAAAACCTCATAAAAACCCAACGTATTTTCCTTAAATGCTTAAAAAAACTACTATATTATTTTTTAGTGCACTAAAAACATTATATTTTCTGAAATTCTTATTTAAGGTTTTTTGACCTCGGAAAAACCTAATATATGTTCATGAAAGGATTAAAAAACTCATTATATTATTGTTTTCGTGCTTTTAAACCCTCCTTTTTTTTGAATTTTTTTAATCTAATGAATTGTAACAATCAAAACGTTGAGAATCGATTACCTAGCATTTTTGGCTATCTAGGATTTACCGAGCTCAATGCCTTAAATGATACATTTTAAAAAATATAAGGGTTTTAACGTACAAATAAATAATATAGTGGTTTTTTAAGACTTTGATGAAAATATGTCGGGTTTTTATAAGGTTTTTTTTTTAATTTTATGGAAACGAGGATTGGGTGGTTTGTCAAATAAAAACATGAGAAGAATCTAGAGATCATTTTTGTACCTTGGATGATTTGTGAATAATAAAGATAAATGTAGGGGCCATAATTATATTGTAAATTCATTTATTCTTCAACAAAACAAAATTTAGGCATTTATGAACGATTAAGAAGAATGTAGGGGCTATAATTGAAATTTGGGTTCATTTATTCTTAAAAAAAATGGATTGGTGTTTGGCAAA